ATTATCATTAAAATAAGTTACTTCAAAAACAATTACTGATGAAATACCTTGGCCATTATGATCAGTTTCAGTATCACTCTGATCGTCATCGCTCTCTGATGGCACTGATACTGAAAAAATTTTAAATGTTTTACAATCTTAATTCAACAATTTCTGAAGTGAAAATCTACTCAGCCTTAAATTTCTTACGCTTGTAGTCAGAAAAAGTCGAAACGTAATCACATAGTGGCATTGAAATTAGAAATAAACGCTTGTCAAATGAGCCTTCATAAGGAAAATCAAATTATAAAATCAATTGCAAACAGAAGGAATATTTTCCGTTATTTCACAGGTGAAATTTTACCTTGACATTTGTCCTTCGTGACCGGTAAAAAAAACGAACAAAAATGCATGTAGTTGTCATTTATTCTTTCACATTGTTTTGGCTATTTCTAACATYATTTGGCTAATGTATGACATTTGGATCGTAATAAAGATGCTGTTGTTGTTGCTTGAATAATATCGCTCATCTCACCTGGTGTTAAATCGTTCGTTGGATGGAACTCTCCTATAGGGTATGAAAAAATACGTTAGGATAATTATAATTGTAAAGTGACACTCAATAGCACTGATTCTAAAAATATGATTCTAAAAATAGCTTAAAGATTCGGACAAACATTGCATTGTTTAACCGCTACGATGATTATACGAACAGATTTTATTATTCTTACTCAAAGTTACAATAACAACCCATGTAAACTAACATCAACTGCGATAGGCTGTGAAAATTATCTGCTGCACATATTATCAAATGTACAAATCCGACTGAAAACATATACTTGAGTATTTAAAATCCACTTACTAATTGTATTCTCAAAATTTGGTTTAAGGTGAATGAAAACTTTCCCTGTCTTAAAAGCGTTTTTCAAGTTATACCCGTTGGGGACTTCACCTTCAAATACCATTTCCCTGTCATTCCCCCTGTCGATCGACTTAAAAAACTCCAATCTGAAAAAAACCAAAACATAAAATAATCAATGACAAATCCCATACTGCAAGTATGAACATAAAACCAATGCGCCGTCGAACGAGTTATATCACCAGTGATATCAAAGAAAGTTTTTAAAATGTTTAGTTTCTTTAAAGAAAGAAAAAATCAACAATAAGCATTGTACGCATTCCATGACTTTAAACGAGTATTATTTTTTTGAAAGTATAATTGTCGAAAGTTTCCACTGATTCGTTTGATAGAGGATCACCAATTAATAATGACTGCTTCAATATAAACACATACTGTGAGCTGTAGAGCTTGAAGAAGAAGCAAGCCGGCCCTTTCGCACTAGGCTAAATTTATATTTGTTTCAACATAAACCGTTTCCTATTTCGAACGCATTTTTTTTATTTTACCAAAATTTGTCTCGCTCTACCAAATTTCAAAGACACCATCTGCATGCTTCGAAGCATAATATGGCTGCCTGTTTGTAGCAATATTTAATCCTCTTGATGTGCCTTTGATTTAAACTTTATA